TTTGAACTCTGATAAACATACAGAGCTACTTAATATAGTAATGAAATTAAGCTAATTCTTACTTTGGCCATTCACTCTGTTTTGGTATGCCATCCTGAGGAGGCTTTATTCAATTTCCCAATACATTTGATCCTCAACCTTGGTATAATCAAGTGCTTTATGTATATAAGGTAGTTGAATCGTAACAAACAACAATATCAGCATTTCAAGGTATCACAGTATGGTTAAGACAGAGTTGGGTTTGGTTACAAAATAATGCAGAAGTATCACAGAGTATTATTAAATCCTTGTCAAAAGAATTGACTTTTGCTCATCTGCCAAATATTATTATGGACAGGTGCTATCATCAGTGGTGATAAGTATGTCATGTATAGGCTCCCTGTTAGCTGGGGTCAAAGCCATTTCTCTCCATTCACATGACTGCACAGTTACAGATACTCACTGATTGTTGTTGTGCAGTAAGGCTCATCTCCCTTCCATGGGAACACATAAATCTCATTATTCTTCCTATCCCTACTGTTTAGTCTCATTTAGATCCATTCTTGGATCAAGATCAGCCAGGGTTCAGCAGTGAAACTTACAATATCCCCTAGAAATTTTCTTTAAATTTGGGGAACTACTTCTGTTTCAGAGATGCTCTATCTGGGTTTCCATAATTCATGACTAATTTTGAATTAATCCTTCATAATTGGAGGACTTGGGCCTCCATTTGAAGTAAATGAGTCAGAAAACAAAACAAAAAACCCCAAACCCTCTTCCAGAGCCAGTTCTGATGCTTAGTAATCCTATAGAGGGCTTCCCAGACCGTAAATCTTTCTCCCACAGAGTGGGTGGTAAATTTGAACCACTGACCATGTGGTTAGCAAGTCCAGTCCATACCCGACAATGCTACCAGGGTTCCTTAAAATAGTTCATGAAACACATCATATCATGCCCATTATTGAGTCCTAAGATTCTATAGCATTATGTATTGGGTATGAGTGAACAGTTACTAAGGCTTGATACCATCTTTAAAAATGGATTGCCACTCTTTCCCCTCCTCTTAGAATATGATTCCTTCCAATCTGTCTCTTTAAGCTAGTAAATCCTTTTCTTCTGGAAGTCACTCTTCATTTAAAGTGAATTCAGCTTATATTATACACCCAGACCAGCTCCTAATTCACCTAGAGTCTTTTGCTTCCCTGGTGAATGTTTGCGATCTACTATGGGTTCTTTCCATTCAGCACTAACTCATTGAGGACAGCTGGGATAAATGTGCTGCATCCCCAAATTGCTGGGCTCCTCCTCATGCTGGAGTCAAGTGCATTGTAGTCACTTGAATGTAGTTTAGTTTGACTATGCCATAAGGCTTCCTATAACCTTTTTTGTCTCAGGTTAGGGATATTGCACAAGTCTACCATGTGATGCTTAATATGTTATTTCCTTCTGTAATCCATTAATACTTTTCATCTACAAAAACAGAGATGATGTGTTCTGACATATTGCACGATGACACTTTGGGCCTTTGCCGCCTATTGTATCTGAGGATTCACCCAAGTGTTTGTTCATCAAAATTTACAGTTGTAAACCAGTTAATCATTTGCCTGATATATATGTACTATGCGTCATGATGACTCAGATGAATTAAATTCCTTAATATATTTAAATGTTCCCAGTATTGTAGCAAAGGATAAGCTTACTTAAGTTTGTCTCATCACCATTTCCACCAATAAAATGATGAAAATGCAATGAAATGTTTAATAATGGTTACAACCATCACTTACAAGTTTTACCTATTGAAAATGGGAAGTGAAGGAAAAAGAAAAAGAAGCAACATTCTAGCACTTTCAAATATTTGTAACCAAGTGATTCTCAACTATAATCCTTTATTCCTCAATGGATAAATATAGTCCATTCAGTAGAAAAAGCTCTCTTAAAATCTTGTCCTGAAATGTGAGACATTTTAATGCAAGTATCAACCATTTATATAGAACCTAACTTTAATATGTATGAAAAGTATTTAAATGAATGATGAGACCATGGTTCATTTCCAACGAAGCTTATGCAACAGCAGGTAAAGTTATCTATAAAAATTAGTACATGCTGATAGGATCTGATGCCATGTTAATAGACTTATTATAGCACTTACGATACAGAATCACATACCCCCACAAGCATACACAAACCGAACAATCTTTGTATTGTAACTTCAACCTTTGAATAGTTAGTCATACCGGGCATACTTTTCTTTCCAAGTTCAGAGATAAAAACAGCACCATATACAAATATCAAATATTAACACAGCGTGAAGATACTGAATGGCCCGGCATAGGAATTTTAAACATCATTTTGACCACGGCTAGTAACAGGCTGAACCTGCCACCGATGTGATAAGCTGCTTTTCTGAGGACAGAAGTCAATCAACTTTAAACACCGAGATAACCAATACTCATTATCATATGCTAATGTCTATTCTATATGAAGATTTTATAATAAAATTTCAAGTTCTCATATGTGCCTAAATTCAGTTGACCTTCTTTCTTCACAGAAATCATCCCATACCCACCACCCCCTAAAACAAAGTGGATTCCACTGGACAAAAAATGCTTGAAGTAGTCAGGATTTCACTGCCTTGGGAAAGATTTTTCAGTATATACGAAAAAGTACGCTGTTGTCCTACTAAATGATGAATTGTAAATATCAGATCCCTACTGGACATCCTGGAAAACTGGCACTCCATTCTATTGTGCTAAGAATAGATTGGGGTTTGGACAAGTGTGGTGAAATGAATTCTTTTATGTGACTTTTTGCCTTGGTTCTTTTGAAGAATAGTTTGAGAAAATTTCTCCCTAAGCCCTCAGTGTCACCTTTGCCCTAGTTTCCTACTCCAGAGGGTTTGTTACATTTGTCAAGGTGACTGAGATTTCCTGGTAAGCAGTATACAAGTCAGGTTTGATTTTATTTAGGATATAGCCTGCCCTGTGACTAGTATACATCTCACAGGGATTGGCCATTAGGCTATGCAAATTAGGTGATTTAGAGCCTACTATGTAGATGAGGTGTCTGTGGCATGACAAAGAGGGGATTGGTCTGCTGGTAGGAGTGCCATTCCTTGAAATTTACAAGGAGTGTGTGTATTTAAGCAATGATCCCATAGAGATTTTTGAGATAGAAAGAAGCAAGAAGGAAAAGCAATAGGAAGAAGGATAAGGCAGTAAAAGAGCGATGAGGCGAATAATTTCCTAAAAGAGCTCTAACACAGGTCAAGAATTATAAGATGAAAGATAGTGAGAGGACCAGAGGGGCAAGTGGCAGCAGGCCCAAAAGGGGCCCAGAGGTGGAGCCATTGGTAACAGACATCATGTCCAAGAGGATCCTATCCTGAGGGGGCTGAGAGGAGGTCTGCACAATCAAGGAGTTGTCCTGAACCGAAGAAGGTAGACTTTGCCTACATGTGTCCTGATCCTAGTCATTGGATGTATAGCCTATTGCTCCTGATCCTAAGTTGTACTCTGTTCCTTAATAAACCAGTTTAAGTATGATCTTTTACTTCTGTGTAGCCATTACAATGGATGATCATTACCAGACGAAGTAGAAAGTGCCATAGGAGAGATGATTGGTGTTAGAATTGGTAATAAAGTTGGAGTGGAGGTATATGTCTGACCTACATGTCATAGGATCATGATTTCCATTATCCTCATAAAGTTAGATGGGCTCTGATGCTGGCACGATTACTACTAGTAAAATAATTTTACAGCAAGTAGGAGATGAGCATGGGGTGGACCAGGGTGCAAGTTATATAAGTGGTAAAAATGGTCAGATTCTGAACAGATCATGAAGTTAGAATCAACAAGAGTTTGTGGTCATAAATTTAACGTGAGCCTAATCAGTGTAGATGGAAATGATTCTCTGAAGCATCAACTATCGAAGATGTAGTTGATGGAAAGTAGGTTTTATCCAAGGCTGTATTTTGCCAGCATGGGGCAAGAAACTCAAGATATATGCAAAGGAAAGACCACAGAATCTAAGCAGGTTAAGGAGAGAGAAGTAGCTCCATGGATGCTGCAAATGGTTGAGTGTTCAACTACAAACCAAAATATTAACAATTTGGACTTGCTCAGAGACAACTCAGTAGAAAGGATTGGTGATCAATTTCCTAAAGCCTTGAAAACCCTCAGGAACACAGTTCTACTTTGCGACACATAGGGTCACCATGTGTTGCATGTCAGAATTCATTCAACAGCAAATTTTTTTTTTTTTTAGGAAAAGAATTGAGGATATCAGGAGAATAAGGGACAGACGGAAGGTGGTAGGATCCATGGCACACAACCACAGGTTCTTCCCTCTTGTTTAATAGTGCTTTGGTAACTTTCCTCTATTTTTTCCTACATTTTGTATCATCTATCTATCTATCTATCTATCTATCTATCTATCTATCTATCTATCATCTATATCAGTGTTGTATTGGGGTAGGACTTATAAATATGTGACTCTGTTTGGAGCCTAATACTCATATTATGCACAAATTTTGTCTAGTCTCTCTTCCCATCCCCTCAATACACAAATATATACAGACGCAAGCACACACATGCATGCAGAAGAAAAATGGAAACAATACACACATAAACATGCATACACATTAAAATAACAGTGATTACTTTTGGGTGGTGACTATAGTTGTTTTATATAGAAGTTGGGGTCAAGGCTCCACCCCCTTAGTTTCTAAATTATAGTCAACAAAACAATATTCATTTTAAAAAGCACATGTAGCTATACCCATGTATAATCAAAAGCTGGCTAGGCTCTCTACTGAGGTGTTAGAAGACTTGATCTGGCAAGTCATAGGAAGCAAAGTTTTGAGGAGATGGAAACTGGTATAGTTTTAAAAACCTAACCAAGGTTCACAAAACAAAGCATAGATCATTGTCAAGGAAATGAAATACATTAAAATGCTTAACACTGAGACTACAATAAACACAGTCACAAATATCTTAAAACTGGAAGAAAGGACCATTACAAACCTGTTTTCTGTTTTGAGCTCTGGCATTCCTTAATCTTCGAGCAGAATAAAAGATAAAATAGCCCACTGTTGCTGCCGTAATTATGAAAAAAGACACAGACACGAAGAAAATTGAATAGTGATTCACCCAAGGGCCATGCTTTTTCCCTACTTCAATGACCATTGTGACTTGTATTCCTTTTTGAATAGACTGCAGAATTTTTGTGCCTTTCAGATTGCCAATCATGATTGCGACAATGTCTCCTGCACCTGTAAAAGAAAAGAAATTCAATTTTAGTTCAGTAAAGTCTCCTTAATCTAAAATGCAATTGCTACAATGATTTTAACTGAATTTCAATGAGCAAGGGAAGAATATTCATTCACTCAATCTTCGCTGAGCACAACTATGTGTATAATAATTGAAGAGAAGGAGACTTTGTTGCTGATCTTAAGGAAGTAATAGTCTAATAAGGAAGCTGTAATATAAAACAAACATGAGAGTCTCCTCCCCTGCTCAGGGTAAGAGGATTTCGCTTGTGGTCTCATTTGCATCTTATATGAAGGCTTGCTTAAAGACAATTAAACAGTTCTCTGAATGGTAGAAAACAGGGTTTACAACCTAAGAATCTGAGATATGGGAAATGCAGAATATCTTCAGACATATTTAACTCTATATTTCTTAATTTATAAAGTGGTAGACTCTACCATGAACTCACTACTAAAATGTGTAAAGCTTTATTTATCAAGTTTAGTAATTAGAGAGAAATAGCCACAAGTCCAGATGTAAAACCTATACATAAGACTTCAAAAAGTTCATGGAAAAATGGAATTAAAAGCTATTGGAAACTGAACTGAGTTTCACCTCAAACCCACCTGTAGCAGATTTAAGAAACCAAAATAGTCCCTTGGAAGGCTGAAATGCTCTAGTGTGAGAAGAAGCAGCGACTGCTATCTCAAGGTTATGGAATTGGCTGTCTTTAGACTATATTGATTTGGATCCCTTGCTTTGTGGGGGCACAATGAATGATGGTTCAGGACTACATATATTTACCATTTTAATGCCATTTTTGCTTCTTATGGCATGTTTTAATATGGTAGGCATGGCTCTGCCTCTGTGAATGAGTGTTAATTGAAAGTTTTACCCTATCACTAACCTCCACTGTTGGTGTAAATAGTGTCCGATCACTAAAGAATTTAACCTGTACAATTCAACAATTCATGTATCATTCTCTGAAGCCAGCCTATATTAGTATACGTTCTTTTTTCTCAATAGGTTTAAATTATATACCATTAGCTAATCAATGACTCTATTGATAGAATTACTCTATGCCTCTGTCATAAAATGATGGGAGCCCTGGTAGCATAGTGGCTACACATTAGGCTGATAATTCTAAGGTCAGCAGTTTGAAACCACCAGTGGCTTCAAGGGAGAAAGATGAGGCTTTCTACTCCATAAAGAGTTATGGTCTTGGAAACCCACAAGAGCAGTTCTACTCTGTCCTATAGGGTCTCTATGAGTCACAATAGACTGGATGGCCATGAGTTTGAGTTTTATTTTAAAATTATAATGATGTCTCTAAAGTGAATCAGAGACATATATAAACCATAGATATATGAATGGATTTGGGGATTGCACTTAATTCTAGCTTCAAACTAAGAACAATTAGTTTATTATGACATGGCCCTGCTCTCCCTCATAGAGATCACTGAAGAGATGGGTGCTATAGCAATGTACAGTGAAGAAATCAGATGGTGCCCAGATGTCAGAAAGAATAGCATCTGGGGTCCTAAAAGCTTGTCTGAAAACAAGCAACCATCTAGGTGAGCCACCAACTAAGTCCACATGGAAGAAGCTCACCAGCCTGAGAGACCCACGGACTGTGAATAATAAAATCTGAATCCAGAGGAAGGGACTGGTATAAGAGATTAAATGGTGAACACCTGGTTTGCAGAAAGCTATGCATGACAGGGGAAGCCTAAGATCTAATTGCAGGGTCCCCACATGGGTTAAGTCTCTGGTGTATCCCCTCTGACCATAGTCAAGGGATGTGAATCAACTTGCTATCAGATAGAGAGCATCTTAAAGTGGATTTTGGTAGATGCAGTCATTGTTGTTGTCTATTTGTTTGTTTCCTGTTTTTGTTTTGTATGACTTTCTGTATATGAAATCCAGGATAGGTAGATCTATAGAGACTAGATAGGCGCATGGCAGGGGAGGATGGGGAGAAATGGGGAGCTAACAACAAGTTTGAGAAGAAAATGATCTGAAATTGATGTGGTGATGGTTGTACAAACTTAATATGAGTGAACCATTAAATTGAAAATGTGAAGTATATGTTAATCAAATTAATTTTTAATGGAATTTGTCCATGAAACTTTTGAATTTCTCTCATATGTCAATGAAGTATATTTTTACTGCATCTTCAAAAACAATGTGAAATTAGTTCAAGGTGCCTTTGATTCACTAAGGTTTCACTTAGATTCAATCAATTTAGGCATGGGGATAGCAAGTCGAACTGATAAAATGTATGCTTCTATTCAAGAGCAATGAAAAACCCTGAAATTACATGAAACTTGTCACTGAAAGTTCAATATTTATAATATCATACCAGCTACCCTGTGCAAGGGTTTAAGTCCTGTGGGGGAGAAAAAGGACAAATCTCTTTCTCAATGTTGTGAGAATGTCAGATTACTCATGCTTTTCCACAGCTTATCAAGATTTATATCCCTTCTAGTGTGTATGATCTAAGACCAATAATCTTAAGCAAAAGAATAGAGTTCTTTTAATGTTAAGATGCTGCCAACCAGAGAAACCTCCCACTGATATTTGGTTAAGGTATTAATCTAGGCTAATGATAAAACTCCAGTCTGGAATAAACAGAGAAACACACACAGAGAACTCCAAAAAGGACCTTTAGACTAGAATTCAAATGCATAAGGACAGCATTAAAATAGTATGCACACTTTCAATGATCTAAGAGTTAAAATCTTAAATACTCAGGTAAATAGCAGAGTCTTTATCCAAATAACACCTTAAATTTGAGATTCCCCTGTGACCAGAGTCTTTAAAAGATTAGGCCAAACAGAAATGCTTTCACAATATACTTCCTGAGATCCTCTACCAATTTGAATGTTTAAAAAATGTGTTCATAAGTATTGTAGTTAGAGTTTAACAACTCACTCTTCTAGTTTACATGGGGAAAATCTAGAAAAAAAGGGGGGAGTGAGTGAAGGAGTCTGAAATATAGGTACTTTGCTCTTTCCCCCCCCCCAAATTATTTGAAAGATTTTAAATGTCGAGCTATGGCAGTAAAAGTCTAGACCTTACTATAATTCCATTTTGTCAGTATTTGCCATTTATCAGCAAAATTTCTGGTTATAAAATGTTGGTTAACCATACAATCTAGCTTTCATTTCTGATATGATAAACCACAAGCTTTGAATGTGTCAACGATGCTAAAACCAGGCAGATTTAGTATGATTCTAAAGATCTTGTAAATCACAGATGGGTCCTTCTATGAGCTTTTTTGATTACTAAGTTTTATTCTTTTAGAAGATGTGAAGTGGGTGGCAGCGGTGGGTGCTCAGGAACATACTGGGCATTGTGACCAGATGGTAATGAATAAGCCATGATAGTCAAGACATGCACACAGTCTACATACTAGGAACAATACTGTGTTTCAATTTCTGCAATTCATATTCATACACAAGCTATATAACCCTACAATAAAACATCCATTGATTTATCCCTCTAATCATATACCCTTGCAACTATCTAAAAATCGTTCCCTATGTCTAATTAATTAATGACATCACAACCTTTCAGTTCAACTAGGCTAGGTACACCTCAGGACCATGTTTGAATCTTCCCTGTTCAAATATGTAGATGTTATTTCCTTGATATCTCCCACCATCAAATCCTTCTTTCTGTTCCTCTCTTGGTATATTGGTTGCCGTTGGAGTTGATTCTAGTCTGACGCGAGAGGGCAGACTAAAACTGCTCCTTAGGGTTTCCCAGGCTGTAATCTCCCACAGCGCAAATGGTGGTTTCAAACTGCAGACCTTTGGATTAGCATCCATGCACTTCATCACTGTGCTACCAGGGCATCTTGCTCCCTGAATATAAGCCCCCATCATTTCTTTTCTAAATGATTTCAGTAGCCTTCTAACTAGTCTATTTCCAATTTCTTCTCTCCCCTTAAAGAGTTTGTCTTCCTGATGGATTCTGCTGCCACTGTTTGATGGAATAATGCCTCTTCTAATACTCATGAAAGTCTGACTCCTTGGCCTAGCATTTAAAGTCTTATGTGATCTGGTCCCAATTGACCTTTCCAGTTTGATCTAATCTCTATTATTTCCCACCTCTTGAACACTCAGTTCCAGTCACATGACACCCTCTATTACAGTCACTCACGTACTGTATCTCTTCCTGGTGTTTATTTTGTTCCCTCGGGCTACCAGGTCCCACATCTGCTGACATGCCCTGCGCTTTCTCTTGATGACTCAAAACCCAAACCCAAGCGCATTACTGTTGAGTCCATTCAGCCTCATAGCAATGCTATGAGACAGAGTAAAAACCACTTTGTAGAGTTTCTGAGGCTGTAAATCCGTACCGAAGCAGACACATTCATTGCCTTGTCTTCTTCCTGCAGAGTGACTGCTGGGCTTGAACGGATGACCTTTCAGTGAGCAGCCCAACATTCAGTTCACTGAGCCACCGGGGATCCCTATGATTTAAGTCCTGCTCAAATGTTGCCTCCTATATTCCCTAAGTTCCAAGTGAAAGTGTAAACATTCCTTTTTGTTCCCTTAACACTTGATTTTAGTGGTTCCACACTGGGTTGCTAACTGCAAGGTCAGCATTTGAACTCACCAACGACAGAGCAGGCTTTCTACTCCCGTCAGCGTGACGGTCTCGGAAACTCACCGGCAGCTCTATCCTGTCCTCTCGGGTCGCTGTGCGTTGGCGTCAACATGACGCCATGGCAGTGACTTTGGTTTGGGAGCACTTCCTTGTGTGTTTTGCATTTCCATTAGTATGATTTTTTCCTTTTCTAGATTAAGAATATTTTATTAAAAACTGTTTTTAACTAACAGCAGTCATGCATTCTTTTATCTGGCATTGACAGAGAACGAGGGGAATGAGATGTCCCATATAAACAATTTTTTTCATGTAATGAAAGTGTTCCATTTTACATAAATGCTGGATTTTAACAATTTTGAATGATATTCCAAAATGTAATCCATCCTGCCTTACTTCTTGACTAGAG